CCCCCTCCCCACAACCCACCACCATCTCAGAACTCCAACTATTCACTCTGTTTTTTTTGGGTCCTAGTAATTATTCAAATCAAATGCTTTTGCAATTAGCTTAATAGCCAGCATAATCTCAGAAAATCAGGCAAGCCATTTATGTGTCCTCAAAGTAATCAGGGCTAGATGGCCATACACGGTGACCGATGGACGAAAAAAACATGCGTGAATCAGGGCGTCGGATTGTTCTGAATAAGATAAAAATTACACAAGATAAATAATGAAATAGACTGAGCAGGATGGAATATTGTCCAATTCTTATTTGTTCTACAAGTTCAATTAGACCAGGCAGGTCAAAGTGGGCAATTTGGCACCACCTTTCAGAGGTTTCCTTATCAACAATCTATGGTGCATTTCTCTCCTTGGGCACTCTCAGATGCACTATACATCCCGGCTATTTTCAATAAATAATGTTGACTGTAACTAAAAAGGGCCAGAAAATGAGATGGTTAATAAAAGACAAGACATAGGTCACATGCTTTCTAATTTAATGTGGCACCTTCTCTCTTGAAAAACAAAAAATACAAGGAGAAACTTGATCCCAGCTACTGTCCAAACAGGGCCAAGTCATGTTTTCACAACTAACAATATGACTGTCTTTTCTGAAAAAAACGTCTAACCGCATACCTAAACGTAAATTCGTAAGTTATGCAATCATCCGCTAACCAAGTGCATGTTTAAATTTAAATTTCATATGGTCTTGTGACTTAAACTCTACCATACAGTCTCACGCCTACGACCTTGTTCGACCACTGAACTAATTTGTGTAATTCATTTCATGACTATTCTCAAACACATGTAATGTATATTTTACGATGCCCAACAGATAATGGGGGTATGCCCAATGTCCATCAATGAAAACATCCACAGTTTCTTAGGTAAATGAATACATATATTGTAACAGACCCAAAGTCCTACACAAAAGTTTAATGAATGAAAGTATCAAAACCTGAGAAGCAAGAAGAACAGCATCTTTGTGGAGGAAGAGAGTGAAATGACTGATGAGATTGAAGCTCCCTGTCAACCATTTTCCTGGTGGTACATAGAGTTGCGATCCACCATCAGATGCAAACTGGCTCAAATGGTCGATTGCCGCCTTAAAAGCCTTGGTGTTCAACGTTGTTCCGTCACCAACTCCTCCGAAATCAGTCAACGACGCACCGTGAGTTCTGCAACTTATAGCCGAGTACTCAAAATTGTCCGAACTTTGATCTTTTTGCCCATCAACATTCTTTCCACTCAGCAGAACCACAATCACAACGACAAATACTATCTCAATTACCTGTAAATGTAAGAGAGAGAGAGAGAGAGAGAGAGAGAGAGACAACCCATCTGGTATGTGAGATCAAATCTAATTTTTGGAAGGTATTCATCACAGCATTACAAAAAATCAGAAACCCATTTAAGGAGCTATCGAATCAAATCATTTTCTGGAACTTTTAATCCAAGAAAAAGGTTTCAAATGATAGTAGTAGTTGTGATAAAGGGTTTACCAGAGCTTTTCTGAAACTTTTTGAGCATTCCATTGTAGGGAAGGCAAGGCTAGTTGAGATTTGGTCTGTTGCAGGTACAAATTGTGGAGTGTATATAGACAAAGGATTGTATGTAAGGTATGTCTTTACGCTATAACTATATTCCTCCTTTCTTTATGGGTTGCAGTTTGATTGCTTAGTCAGAATTGTGGATCAGAGGAAACGGAAAGTGTAAGAGAAAACTACAGTTTTCACCCCCCACTAGAAGTGATTGTAACATTGTACGTCTGAACTTATTTTTATAGCTGTTTGATAACCAAACACGTGGAGCCCAACTCGTTTTAATAGAATTTATTTTCTTGAAACCAGACATCTGGATGGCACACATTACTTGTATTGACGATTGTGCAGGCATTCTTTGAGCAGTTTATTTAATAAATGAGTGGAAATTAATAAATAAAATTAATTAAAAAAATATATAATACTAAATATTTATATACTGATTATACTATTATGATATGATGATAGAATTCAAAAGATCTATCACTATTTATATGATTAAGATTAAGATATAATGATAAAATACAAAAGATTTATCATTATTTATAAAATGATAAACTTGTGATATTTTATTTTTATTATATAATATATTATCACCCTATAAATAGAGTTGAGTCTCGTGTAATCAAGAATTACTAAATAAGCATTGATGTAGTCTTTTGGAGCATTTGGTCCGTGGAAAATAGACATATTACACACTACGTATATCTTAATATTCATAGTTTTGTTTTCTTTTCTTATTTTAATTTCTCTCATGTTCAAAAATTTTACATAGGATTAGAGGGTCAATTGGACCCAACTTTAAATATGCTTCGGCTTTGCCATGAATCTGGTCATTGTGTCCTTTACTATGTTAGTTTTCTTTCGAGTTCCAGTTTGCCAGTGATCTTAATCATGTAGGTAGTGATAAATTTCTTGAATTCTATCATCGTAACTTACATATATACGTGATTGATGCACGATACAAATTCAATATGACACAAGTTGTTAGTCATAAATTAATAAACAAATCGGATATGAGTAAAATATTTTTTTGATAAAAATCCGTTACTACCCGACACCAACTCTTTTCATCTGACACGATTGATAGACTTATTTGTACCTAGTTTACGACCTAAATTATTGACTTAATTCACTACATTCATTGAATTAACAACAAGTTAGGTCAATTTTTTTTTAAGATAAAAAGGGGGGAGGGGGGGGGGAAGACCAATAGATAGTGACCCTCTCTGGGCGTGACTATGAGGATCTCCCTCAGATATGAAATATTCGGTTAGTCATACTTACAGGACCCTTTAGAGTAGTTCGTCACGATACCACCATCGAAGCCTAAGTAATAACGACATGACGGAGGAGTCAAGACGGACATCTCTTACCACTATACCACCAGCCCCGTGGTTAGGTCAATTAATTAAATAGCATTATTCATATAATTATGTTAGGTTAGACTTCTACAAGAGATAGTTATGGTTAGGTACCACAATCCCCACTCCCATTTTCAATGTGGACCTTTTAGCGGTGTTTCTGTACTTGTCATTGAAATTTGAATTCACCTTTTGAAAAAACGGAGTGTGAATAGCCTTTTTATTCTTATTAGTTCTTGCAATGCTCAAGTTCATTTTCCCCTAGAAATTGGTGAAGAAACCATGTTTAGCATTGACAAATCAATGAGAGGCTAAAGAAACCAAATGTGCAGCTACTAGGCATAAAGTATTACTAATAAGTTAGGCCACAAACAGTAAATGATTTCACTCTTGGGCGTGATTGATGTATGTTATCAAAGACTAAAACCTAACGTCGGGCTAATTAAGGTAGTTAAATCCTATTTGGAGGAAATATTGGTGGTCATGGAAATTAATTAGGTGAGTGGAAACGGCTATTTGATTACTCTCAAGCAATGTTATTTAGACCTAATTTACGAACCTAATTCAATGTAACCGTTGAACTAATTATGAGTTTCAATATTAGACGAAACTCACTATCAATCAAATGGTTGCATTGAATTAGATCACAGATTAAGTTTTCAAATTTGATCCAAATAATATTTTTTAAAAAAAAAAATTGAAGAAGTAAAAGAGAGTATAAGTACATGGAGGGGTGTTTGGCTCATGGTTAGGATAGAGTGTTTGGCAACAGTTTTGATTTTATGTTTAGGCAGGGTTATGAGAGTGCAAATTCATTATTCAATTAAACAATTATTTATGGCCACGCTTCGGTTGTCCTCTAGAACCATTTTTAATTATAAAAAAATAAAAAAATATTTTTGTTTATTTTTAAAATTAGAGACAGTTTGGTCTTTTCCATGCTTTGATCTCTGAAGTTTTTTTTTAAAAAACAAAGCGGACAACAGTGTAATTATGCAAACAAAAGAGGGGTTGTCTAACCATGTGACAAACCTCAAGGGTCAAATATTAATTAGCCCTAAATTAACTCCTCTTTACATAAAGCATCACCATAAGTTTCCTCGTTTCCCGTTAATTAAGGCTCTCTCTCTCTCTCTCTCTCTCTCTCTCTCTCTAATTACCAGTCATTTCTCAAACCTACATGCTGAAAACAAGCCACGGAATGGGTAGAACCGCTCTATTTCACTTTTGATCAATGCCATTTAATGTTCATCATAAATAATGGATATTATTTAGATTCAACCATTAATGAATCGAGAAAAATCCTACTAGAGGGGATTTCAATCTTATTCAATACGCCGGGCATAGAAAGTTTTTCAATTTTTCGATGAGTAATGCTACACTGATCAAATTTTAGGATCAAATCAAGAGTCCAAATAACATGATACCTGATTATTTGAAGTCTTTATTAGTGTCCAAATGACATGATACCACATAAAGATGCCCAAATTAACTACCACGTCATTTGAANCTTATTAGTTCTTGCAATGCTCAAGTTCATTTTCCCCTAGAAATTGGTGAAGAAACCATGTTTAGCATTGACAAATCAATGAGAGGCTAAAGAAACCAAATGTGCAGCTACTAGGCATAAAGTATTACTAATAAGTTAGGCCACAAACAGTAAATGATTTCACTCTTGGGCGTGATTGATGTNAGCATTATTGTTTTTCGATTAATATGAACTCTCTCTCTTTATATGTATGTATATATAGCTTGAAGGGAAACCATAGAATCCCAATGAATACTTCAAGTAGTAACATGAATTAGCTGTAAATTCATATATCTTAAGTTTGAATTTTAATAACTAATTTAGGTTATGTCATAAGAAATTTATCTTTTATGAATACTATAGTGCTGACGAGGTGCACGTAAACTAACCCAACACCATTGATCATTAAAAAAAGAAAAAAAAAATAACAGAGAAGGGAGGCCATTGCTAAACCTAATAAAAGTTGTTTGNGGTGAGTGGAAACGGCTATTTGATTACTCTCAAGCAATGTTATTTAGACCTAATTTACGAACCTAATTCAATGTAACCGTTGAACTAATTATGAGTTTCAATATTAGACGAAACTCACTATCAATCAAATGGTTGCATTGAATTAGATCACAGATTAAGTTTTCAAATTTGATCCAAATAATATTTTTTAAAAAAAAAAATTGAAGAAGTAAAAGAGAGTATAAGTACATGGAGGGGTGTTTGGCTCATGGTTAGGATAGAGTGTTTGGCAACAGTTTTGATTTTATGTTTAGGCAGGGTTATGAGAGTGCAAATTCATTATTCAATTAAACAATTATTTATGGCCACGCTTCGGTTGTCCTCTAGAACCATTTTTAATTATAAAAAAATAAAAAAATATTTTTGTTTATTTTTAAAATTAGAGACAGTTTGGTCTTTTCCATGCTTTGATCTCTGAAGTTTTTTTTTAAAAAACAAAGCGGACAACAGTGTAATTATGCAAACAAAAGAGGGGTTGTCTAACCATGTGACAAACCTCAAGGGTCAAATATTAATTAGCCCTAAATTAACTCCTCTTTACATAAAGCATCACCATAAGTTTCCTCGTTTCCCGTTNGGGGGGGGGGAAGACCAATAGATAGTGACCCTCTCTGGGCGTGACTATGAGGATCTCCCTCAGATATGAAATATTCGGTTAGTCATACTTACAGGACCCTTTAGAGTAGTTCGTCACGATACCACCATCGAAGCCTAAGTAATAACGACATGACGGAGGAGTCAAGACGGACATCTCTTACCACTATACCACCAGCCCCGTGGTTAGGTCAATTAATTAAATAGCATTATTCATATAATTATGTTAGGTTAGACTTCTACAAGAGATAGTTATGGTTAGGTACCACAATCCCCACTCCCATTTTCAATGTGGACCTTTTAGCGGTGTTTCTGTACTTGTCATTGAAATTTGAATTCACCTTTTGAAAAAACGGAGTGTGAATAGCCTTTTTATTCTTATTAGTTCTTGCAATGCTCAAGTTCATTTTCCCCTAGAAATTGGTGAAGAAACCATAATTAGCATTGACAAATCAATGAGAGGCTAAAGAAACCAAATGTGCAGCCACTAGGCATAAAGTATTACTAATAAGTTAGGCCACAAACAGTAAATGATTTCACTCTTGGGCGTGATTGATGCATGTTATCAAAGACTAAAACCTAACGTCGGGCTAATTAAGGTAGTTAAATCCTATTTGGAGGAAATATTGGTGGTCATGGAAATTAATTAGGTGAGTGGAAACGGCTATTTGATTACTCTCAAGCAATGTTATTTAGACCTAATTTAGGAACCTAATTCAATGTAACCGTTGAACTAGTTATGAGTTTCAATATTAGACGAAACTCACTATCAATCAAATGGTTGCATTGAATTAGATCACAGATTAAGTCTTCAAATTTGATCCAAATAATATTTTTTTAAAAAAAAAAATTGAAGAAGTAAAAGAGAGTATAAGTACATGGAGGGGTGTTTGGCTCATGGTTAGGATAGAGTGTTTGGCAACAGTTTTGATTTTATGTTTAGGCAGGGTTATGAGAGTGCAAATTCATTATTCAATAAAACAATTATTTATGGCCAC